AGAAGGCTGAGGGGGGATCTAATGGCCTGTTACAAACTGGTCAGGGGGGATCAGCAGGCATTGGGGGAGTCCCTGTTCCCCCGAGCACTGCCAGGAGTGACTAGAAATAACAGTCACAAGCTGGCAGAGGGTAAATTCAGATTAGACATCAGGAGGTGCGACTTCACGGTCAGGGCGGCTAGGAGCTGGAACCAACTTCCAAGAGAAGTGGTGCTGGCTCCTACCCTGGGGGTTTTTAAGAGGAGGTTAGATGAACACCTTGCTGGGGTTGTTTGACCTCAGTACTCTTTCCTGCCATGGCAGGGGTTCGGACTCGATGATCTGCTCAGGTCCCTTCTGACCCTAGAAGGTATGAAATGCCTTGGTTGCTCCAGGTAGAGACCAATGGAGTAGTGGGCGAAGAAAGCCGATGGGAAGAGCCATCACACCCCCACACCTCTCAGCACAGCGCCCAGCCTGCCCCACCACAAGACTCACCTGCATATTCTGGGTCCACATGGGGAGGGTAAAACCCAAACTTGATGAAGATGGGAATGGGGACTCCGAACTTGAACCACTCCACCACATAGGGAGGGGGCTGCCCTGTCAGCGGGTGGATCACGTCGCATCCCAGAATCACGCTCTCGCCAGCACGAGCCGTCACAAACTCGGGTTCCTCCCTTGAGCCGTGGGCACCTGGAGGAAGAAGTGGAAGAGCCAGGCACGCTGTCAGCAGTTCTCATCATAAGACCACCCCATAATGACCGCAACGAACTACAGGGACCCCTTTGCCAACAGCCAGGGCACAGGACACCCCAGAGGTCAGGGGCCCCAGGACCAGAGGTAGCAGGAAGTGGCCTGGGATGCTGAGATATGGAGGGTGTCCAGATTGCACATTAGCGCAGTGACCCGTGAGGCCAGGCTTGTGAAGTGCAACCAGCCAGCAGCAGTGACCGCTGATGCCACTGGGTGCAGGAAGCAGAAAGGACCACGATGCCACATGGGGCAGGCAGAGCTAGAAGGATGGCCCTCCCCATGGCCACCGCTTGCCATGGTTACCCAAAGGCTCGTGTTGCCTTCCCAGCAGCCTGCAGGCCTGGCCCAGAGTCAAAGCAGTGCAAGGGCTGCGTGCTCCATGTGCCCCAACACCCGATGCCCAGCTGGCAGGCAGGCCCCGAGGGCTGCCAGAACCATGCCTGGTGCCAGCCCTGCCAGGCTCTCATCAAGATTTAAAAAGCACTCTTTCCTCACCCCCAGCCTGCTCTCTGAGCCAACAGCAAAACCCCTGCCCTTGCTGCTCCCAGAGGAGCCAGCTTGCCTACCACTGCCTGGACACCCAGTGCCAAGCCCATCAGTCATCATCGCCCGCCAGAGCAGGAAGCTCTGTGAAGACCAGCTTCCATCTGGGGATGACTGGGTGGCTGCTACATAGCTGGATCCATCACTTGGGGTCCCCACTTTGGAAGCTGCAGGCTGAGGCTGCGTACCTACGAGCATCCAGGAACGGATGCCTGGACCCGATTCAGGGCTCAGGAGCAAACCCCTCTGCTGCAATGTCAAGCTGGGAACATGGGCAGCTCTACTGGCTGAAAGGGGAAGGACTTACCACAGGTCAGCTGAGGGCGCAGCAACCGTTTCACCTGTCCAGTCTATCCCACGGGAAGTACAAGCTAAACCAGAGCAATGTACCAGGTGCTTCATTCGGGGGTGAGTTACTGTGGCCTGGCTTTGCTCCCTGTGGGAGAGGGCACGTGAAACAGCTGCACTGGATCAGCAGACCCATGTTCACAAGGGGCATATCCACTGAAGCAGCAGCAGGATTGCTAGTGTGCCCAGTCTCCCAGCCAGCCACACTGCAAGGGTGCAAACAAGGTCTGGGACAGGCACCAAGACCCCCAAAGCCCGCTGTGGGGCAGTTCACTAGCCCATCCCTAGGACCAGCAGCATTAAACCAGCACGGCCCAGCAGCTCTGCTTGTGTGCTAAGGCCACAGTGCAGGCAAGAAGGCAGCAGGGTCTGTTCTGCCAAGCCCCAGAGCATGCAGGCCCCACTAGATCAGCTCCCCACAGTGCAGAGGCTTTCTGTGAAGGCCCAGCTGCAGAGCCGTTTCTAGCTCAGCACATGGAGACTCCCTCCAAGGTGACCTTCCCCCACCAGCTTCCCCACCCCCAGGCCCAGGTGCCCTTCTCTCCCTCCCTCCCTGGCAGAGGAGGGGCGCCGGCAGCAAATGCACAGCTCTTCTCACAGCTCCGTGTCACCTAATAATATCTTTGGGGACGTCTCTCTTCCCTGCAGCAGGGGAAACATCCATTCATAAACCCACTCACCACGCCACCCAATTACCGCGCGGCACTACAACCCCCTGGAACAGGCATTTCAAAGGGAAAGCACTGACGCAGCTGGGGCTGCAGAGCAGCGAGTGGCGACAGCGTCATGCAAACAGCTGCACAATGAATTAAGACTCAGCGAGGCCTGGGAGCGGGAGCCCAAGTCGCACACGTATATGCCTCCCTGCCTCAAGCCACAAGACCCTCTTGCTGGCCTACCCCCACATCCCACCCCCACAGGCCTGCAGCCTCATCTCCCGTGGGCACAGCCAGGGACGGACCCCATGTTCCAGTGCACAACCTGGCAGGACAGCCAAGCTCGGCCTCGTCGCTGCTGGGTAGAGGAAGAGTCAGGTGCTGCGGAAAACTGCAAGTTAACTGGTGCTGCAGCACATAGCACTCTCCCTGGAGGCTGTATTGGGCCAAAAGCCCCAGGGTGAGGCCAAGGGGGCAGATCTCCTGAAGGCGCAGCCTTTCCAGTGGAGCAAAGGACCTCATGGCTTGTATACCAGGGCTCTGGCCAACATCTAACGTGGACTCAGTGCCGACATGTCGAGTTGAACAGCTGCAACCTACCACCCCAGCAGAGGCTCCATTTCAAAGACAGGTGAAATGCACCTTGTCCACCCACCCCCAGCTCCTTCCATCCCGGCCTCTCGGAGCACTTTCCAAAGATCAGCACCCTTGTCACCAACTTGCAGGTGGACAAACCACTGCAACGCAAGTTCTCAGCCAGCGCTCCCCATAGCACCTTCTGGGAAAGGGCTCCGAGGCCTCTACGGCACAACGCCTCAAAGCAGCCGTTGCTGCGAAGTGCCGGGACTGCCATAGCTACCAGTTCCCTTGGAGCTCCCTGTCCTATGACCAACACCTGCAACACAAGGACAGGGCTTAGGAAAGGGGGGGAGCCTCTTCCAGCCACGGTTTCTGCCTCCTACCACCCAACAGCCAGAGGCACCACATTCATGCACTGCCATTTGCCCCAGGTTTGTCTATCGATGTAAATACCCCAGGTGCTGACCAGCTCATTCCAGAGGGCAGGTTGCTGTTCCTGCCCACCTTGTAGCAAAGAGCTGCAAGTGGGGGCAATGTTATCGCTTGAGTAAAGAGCCAATGTGGCCTGAAAGGGATCGAAGACAAGAACACATGATGCTGGCACCACCGTAACTTAGCTGGGGTTAAGCGATGCCAGTCCCTATCCCACAGTACAGTGACTACCTCTGGTGTAAGGCTTTATGCCATGTGTCCACTCCACCTTTGCCTTAGATTAAATCCAAACTCCTCTGGAGTAAGAGCCCTGTGGTGTCTGCACCTCATGGGAAAAGGCCAGCACTTAAGTAGTTGCGAGCTCCCCCTACGGCAGCTGTCCAGCAGCATTTGCTGGGGCAGTGCCTGAGGGACTTGGAGCCACTGGCATGAGCTCAGTGGGGCTCGGACAGAGAGGAAAGCCCCTTCTCACTGCCAGGCATGAAGCTGTATGGGCCGCTGCCTGCTCCAGCCATGGCTCTCGAGGGAGGCATGTTCTCAGCTCCTTTGCTCTGCTCTTCAGGGCCAGCGCTGATTGGCAGAGGGTGACATCACTGTTTTTCTACAACAGGAGTGTAAGATCACGGGTTATTTTGGGCTCAGACATGCATGTAAACCAACCAATGGCCCCATGGGCTGTACGTGGCCCTGGCAGGCTCACAATCAAAGCCCCTTCAGGGGCAAGGGAGCCAGGTGGCCTTGGCACAGCACCGAGCAGCAGCACGCTAGGGAAGCACATGCAGCAGCCAGCACCGCTTTCCTCTCTGCACGCTGCGCCAGTGCAGGGAAAGAGGCCAGGCTGGCAGCTCAGGGAATGGGGCCCATCCCAGGACCCAGGGCTCAGCTGGGGCAGTGGGAGGATTGTAACCAGGGTGCTGAGCATCACAAAAGCAATCAGAGTGCATGTCACTCGTGTTTGCAGGATGTGGGACATCCAGAGACAAGCTCCTTGAGAGAAGCAGGGTTGGAGATGTTCCTGGGCTGAGCAGCCGGCTCACAGCAGGCTGCAGGGGAGCAGCGGGGGCCGATTCCCAATAAGCCATCAGGT